GGGGTGGTTATCTGGCGTCAGAAAGGGAAGCGCAGGTCTTTTTGACTCAAAAGGGGAATGAATTGAGTTACTGGTCAACAAATAAACCTGGGGTTGTTCCTCTATCTCACCACCAAACCAGCCTGCCCCGTAGCGAGAAACCTTCTGAAGGGTGAAGAAGGCAAAGATAAATCTGGACCGGGTGGGCTGAAAAGGGCCGGGGCACCAGCGCTGCGGGGCCTTGTCCCAGGCCGGCAGAGGAGCCTCCGGAAAACGGTTCCCAAAAAGCAGCTTAGCTGATGCCACTCTTTGTTTCACCATATAAACAGATAGGAACGACTTGTCCCCAGGGACAGAAAAATGTCACATCTGATGAATACAGATGTATCCACAGAGATCACAAAAGGTTCCTTTATTTTTAGGAAAGGAAGGGGATTTCCCCCCCCCCTTTGTTTTACTTGACTTTCACTTTTTTTTTTTTTTTAAATATCAGAGAAGATGAAAAGAATTAAGGTCCCATCCCTACAGTGCTTCGGGCACAACACTCCCCTGGATATCAGCTCTTTCGCGGGGATCCCTGCGTTCAAGCCGCAGACCGGTATGAAAGCTCTGAATTTGCTTTTGGGGTTAAGAAAAGGAAGTCTGTGAACCCAGGATGCAGCTGTTCCTGCGCAGGGGGGAATATTGCAGCTTCGCGATTCACTGCCATGTTGTGATATTTAGCGTTTTCCTAAAAGGATCAACACACAGGATCAAAAAAAAAAAACCCCAAACAACAAAAAAAAAACCCCACCAAATCTGTTCCTAGCATCCACAGTTACAGAGAAAAGCTGGAAACCATGGGGCTGATGGGCTCGAAAACTCATACCACAAACAAATAAGATGAAAAGTTGTGGCATTTGTTGCTTTTACATTTTTATAACCTGTAAATTCTTCATGTAGACCATATTCTTTCATTGCAAAAGAAGCTGGAGTTTTCCTTGATTAGATCTCGCCTCGTGTGATATGAAGACAAGGTTTTCAGTCTAATTGTTTTGGCCTTTGCCTTCGGGTGGAATGGCAAAATTAGGACAAGCTCGCTCAGATGAGCTAGTAATTATTATTATTATTATTCCTTCCATGTACAGGCAGAGTACCTGGGAGCTCTTGTACTAGTTCAGAGAGGGGAAACACGGCGATAGATGCTGCATAACGCACAGGCAAAGCTTAACAGAAAATAGGGATGATTTTTTTTTTTTTTTCTTTTTTTAAAGCCAAATAAGAGGGGGATGTTCCAGCTTTTTTAAAAAATGATAAAAGTAGATTGGACAAAACAGCAGGAAGCGAAACATCGACACCATCCTGCCTCTAACACAGAGGGGTAGCGGGAGTAGGCGTCCTTTCCCAAAGCTAATTTTGGTGAGGGATTTGCGTACGGATCATCCCTACGTGAAGAGCCCGGGCAGAGCTTAGCTGAGCACCGTACCGGCTCTTAGTTGTGAGCTACAAACAGCTAACGCTCACTTGCCGAAATGCCTATGAGAAACTTCGGTATGCGTTTACATTTTTAAACCAGCAGATGCTCCAAGAAAGCAGTCACTGAAGAGCTTTTAAATTTTTATGAATTCAGAACACCCAAAATCTACAGTGCATCCCAGTATTTCACTGTATTTTATGAGTATTTTACCGCCCTGTATTTTACCGCTCACTGGGCCAGACGCGAGGGAAGGGACCACGCTGACACAGATGAAGGCGGTGGCTGGTTTTTGTGCTTGACCCCGTCAAACCTTCCATGAGCACGTGGGGAGGGTCGGTGCTCTGGACGAGTCAGGCAAATCCCGTATCGTCCTGCAGGACTGCGATTCCCTGCGATGGAGGGTCAGGGCCAGTTTTAAGCACCGAGGA